TATCATTATCATTATAATAATTTCTTTTATCATTTATGTATCTGCCGAGTGATTGATTGATTGATTGATTGACTGATCGATCGAAAGGTTTTTTATTTTTATTTTTTAAATAAAATTTAGTTAATATACGTCTGAGTGGAGGGTGTAGGTGAGACGGGGGAGGGAGACGAGGTAGGGGGGATAAAATTTTCATTTTTAAATCATTCGAACGCGCACGCACACACGCACGCGCACTCGCCCACTCACTCGCTCAATCGCGCGAATATTATTTAATTTGTTTTATGCGACGAATAATATGAAACATACATAAATCAATTTCCGATTTTTCTTTTATAACATTTATTTAATAAATATTATTTATTTATTTATTTATTTACTCATACCCTTTTTGATAATAAATAAATAAATAAATAAGTGATAACGATTATTCATGTAAATAAATAAATAAAATAAAATAAAATTATTTTAATGAACCCGTCAATTTTAATAATTTTTTTTTAAAATTTAACTTAACTTACTTTTTTAAATAAATAAATAAATAAGTAAATAGCTTTGTTGTTGTTGTTGTTGTTGTTGTTGTTGCTGATGCTACTGCTGTTGCTCCTGGTGGTGGTGGTGATTTAGTTGTTGTTGTTTATGTTGTTGTTGTTGTTGTTATCGTTCTATATATTTATATATGTATACATAAATTTTTTTCATTTGTTATCGAGATATTTGTAACATTTTTTATTTTTTTTTATTTTCCTTCATTGTATAAATAATAATAATAATAATAATAATAATAATAATAATAATAATAATAATAATAATAATAATAATATATAAATAAATAATTAAGTAAAAAAATAAAATCACAGAAAAATTAAATATTTATTTATTTATTTATTATTATTATTATTATTTATTTAGTTGTTAACATAGATAATTTTTATTTATATATATATATTTTTTATTTACATAACAAGTTTAAAAGTTAAATAATAAATTTAATAAAAATAAAATAATAATAGTAATAATAAGTACATAAAGGTAAATAACGGTTTAACATTTAATACTTAAAGAATAATTATTATTATCATTATTATTATTATGATGATGATTATGATTACGATGATGATAATAATAACAATAATAATAATGTTAACTAATAATAATAATAATAATAATAATAATAATAATAATAATAATAATAATAATAATAATAACTAATAATAATAATAATAATAAT